GGTACCGGTACTTACATTTTGTACAACGAAAAAATGCATGCATGGTCGAAAAAAAGATTTCATTCATAAATCGGTAGCTACTCTTATATTCTATCGGTTGTCAAAATTTAAGCCTTATAAATTTCTCTAAAGTCACATTTTGGGCACTTTTTGGGTCAAGATGCCAATCAAGTATCCTTGCCTCTTCTGTAAGAAGTCTGTTCGTGCGAACCAGCATGCTTTCCAGTGTGAGCGCTGCCAGGGATGGCAGCATGTTGGCTGCAACTCTGGTTTTAGTCACCAGCAGTACCTGGAGATCCGTGACGATCCATCCAGGCTGGACGTTTGGATCTGTGCACCCTGTACAAGTCAAGACCAAGAACAGGAGGAAGACCCGATGGACATCGAGGAGAACGGAGACGTCCCTACCGATGACGGTGGTTTCAACGTCGAGACTGACTTTGATGTACCACTTGAAGTAGCCGAGAACCCCCTCCCCGATGCTGCCCTACCTGCTGTAATCCCTGGCCTAGGTGATGAGGACATCACTACCTACAAGACGGTGGTGTCCGGCACGAAACGGGGTAAAGTCATCTTGGTTGATAGTCACGGCTACACCTACACGAAGAAGTGGAAGAAGGCCGGTTCCACTTCTTCCAAAGTCACATGGCTGTGTAGTGTCCGGGGCAAGTTGCAGCGGTGTGCCGTGTCTGTTCACCAAGATGGCAACCTTTTTCATGCTGGACTTCACACCAAGCATACGCACCCAGCGCATCCCGGGGCAGACGTCGCAGTTCAAGTGAAGGCGTTGGTGATGTCCAAGGCCAAGGCTGACATCTTCAAAACAGCAGGGGCCATTGTCGAGGATGTCATCACCCCACTGACGCACCCGCTGCAAGTTGTCCTAATCCAACCAACCTGTCCCGGGCTGTAAACCGTCACCGCCAGAGCCAGTGCCCTCCCGAGCCACGAGACATTGACTTTATAATTGACCAAGGCTTCATCCCTGAACACTTCCTCCAGAAAGACATTCACCTTGGTTGTGCTCGCCATGTTGTGTTTTTTAAACCAGATCAACTCCATGTGCTGGATGGCGCCAAGACCTGGTACTTGGATGGAACTTTCAAGTTGGTGAAACGTCCGTTCACCCAACTGTTCTCAGTTCACGCCTTCGTCAAGGGAGACACCGGTGGGATGAAGCAGGTTCCGCTGACCTTTGTCTTGATAACTCGGCGGACAAAGAAAGACTATAAGAAGGTGCTCAAGGCCCTGCGGAGAAAGCTGCCGTCCCGTGCTGCAAATCTTCAAGAGCTGGTGGTGGACTTCAAAGTTGGACTGTGGGGTGCCATCCGAGCTGTCTTTCCGGATGCTTCCGTGAATTGCCGCCTGTTCCATTGGACACAGGCAGTCTGGAGAAAGTGTCAGGCACTCGGTTTGACAGTACCCTACATGTCCAACGACGGAGTTCGGGATTTCATCGGCCAGCTGTTGTCACTCCCGTTCTTGCCTAATGAACATATCGGGCCAGCTTTTGAAGAACTCAGCAGCCTGGTGACTGATCAACCCGCCATGGTCGAGCTGTGCAGCTACCTTCGCACCACGTGGCTGGAGAACTCAACATGGAGCCCACGTGACTGGTCAGTGTTCATGCGGAGTATCCGTATGAACAACGACGTGGAGGGCTGGCATCGGAGACTTATTGGGCGGGCAGGACGTCACACCGTCCAATTCTACAACGTCATCAAGCTCCTGTACACAGAATCCAGCTACGTAAACGTCCAGCTAAGGCTGGTCAAAGAAGCTCGACTCTGCAGGAACCAGCAGCGGATGTACCGGCAGGTTCAAGGGAAGATTTTCAAGTTGTGGGACGACTACCAAGCCCGTCGGTCAACATCAAAACAACCGGTCCTTTTCAGGACCAACATATCTACAAAAGAGATAGTTGTCTTGAAGATTTGCATCAAAGGCAGAATAAAAACGGAAATAAATGATTAATAAAAAATTACAAACTGTACATGTTTTTCGTTTTCTCCACAGGTTAGAAAAAGAGCCTAATTTTTTATACAATGCGAAATTGTTTTTTTTTATTACCTCCAAAACAATGCCAAACTGAACACATTGAAAAACACTGAACATTTCAAAACTAGTGAATTGCATTTTAATTATTACTCACAACAGTTTTTTGAATTGAAGTCAAACCTTGATAATTATAGAAGAGTGAAAACATTAACACCAGGGTAGATTGAAACATTGAACATTTTAAAAACAATTGAATTGCATTTTATGACCTACAATAGTTTTAAATTAAAGTCAAAACTTGATAATTATAGAAGACGGAAGACGTTTACGTAAATTCAACATGAAATTTAATAACAAAAAGTACAATTTCGAAAAAAAAAGCAACCAAAGAAAATCACGCTACAATATAGAAGACAAACATCGTCGATCTAACCTAAGGTAAAAAAACCCACAAACCGCAGGGTAGATAAAATCCAAGCTCCAAGAAGAACAAAAAACATGCAGTGGCAGGTTACAAAAATCAGACAAAACAAACCGCAGCGCCGTCAACACAAGTCCCGTGAACCACCAAGAGTGATTGACAGTAGCATTGTTGTTCAATAGAAAAGGATTTGGAACCCTTTGTCACGTGTGCAATGAATCCTGGGTGCGAAACGACCTGGGTACGAAACGACCTGGGTACGAAACGACTTGGGTACGAAACGACCAACATTCGTTGTGGCCTACTGGTCTATGGGCGAGACATATGACAATGCAACTGATTATGACATGTCCCCCTTTGCATTGGCAGCTGACTTCATTGCTGGTGACTCAATGATGTGAACATGAATGTGTTGGTACTTCATCCACAGTTTTAGTTCTTGATCAATGAGACTGACAATTCTGGCATGGGCAAGTGGAAAATTTTGTCGTCTGTGTGGAATTAGTGGACTTGGATAGACACTTTTCAAAGAAATTGTATGGATGGTAGGACATTTCTGTTGGTCTAGACAGTGAACCTGAGATGAAAGATTTGCTGTTTAGGTAAGATACACTCTTATAGATGTTGTTTAATAATCGGCTGAAATTTGCAATTATTCTGCGGGTTTGATCATTTTACAATTTGGTGTAGTCTTTTATCCTTGTTGGATGGTTTTCAATCATGGATTCCGAGTCTGATTGTCGAGATTGCGAAGACAGGATCGCAAGACTTGTTAATGATGCCGCAACGTGTGGGTTGAAAGACTCTGGTATGCTCAAAGTTATTGAAGACTACTTCCATGGGCGTCGCCAGGATTTTTTCTAGAGGGGGGCAAAACATTTTTTTGCCAAAAAATGCTTGTATTTCTCAACACATTTTCGATTTATCAGTTTTAGGGGGGGGGGCGGGGACATTTTGCCTCCCCCCAACTCATTAAATTTACACCACTTTGTCTTCGCGCCTTTGTTTTTTTTTTCTCCCTTTTTCTTTTTTTTTGCTTTTCCGGGGGGGGGGGGGGGGGGGGGGGGGGGGCCTTGGCCCTGCTGAACCAGCACTTAGACCCGGGCCTGCTGGAGGTGCAACACATGATGCTGAGAACGTGGCCATGAACATGGCGGCACAGATGTTTAACCCAAAAACCATGTCATTGCACGTGTAAACTTTATGAAGGCGGCCTATGTATTTAGCAGTTTAACGAAGAAGAGATACAGAGCATAAGGTAACACAGATTATCATAACACATGCAACGTCAGTCGGCCTAAAAAAACATGTTAATAAAAAAAGGGGCCATTCACAATAATCTAAGATTTCACGATTGTCAACAATCTCAGTTAAGAAAGCATACAAGGGCCCTGCCCCGAACCCCCCCCCCCCCCCCCGGTTTGTTTGCTTGTAGATTGCGTGGGCCCTTAGTTTGTTGTTAATAGTGCACTGACAACATTTTTGTTCCTAAAATACATGCCACTTCTTTGTAATCTTTGTGTTAACAATTCAAAACAACCCCTGCCATGATAAAATGCACCATGTTTTGGACTCTACAAAGTTGTTCAATTTCGAACACACATTGCAGTGTGCAACATTATACCTAGCTTTGAATATACAACATCACATTGTGCATATAATACATTAATGAGTTTAGAGTGCAGTGTGTTACATTTTCAAATAATTGTTTATGCTCCATATATCTTCTTCTTTTTTGGGTATTTTCAGGTTGAATGTACGTGAAATGACAAGCTTTGAAAGGGATCTTTTTCTGCTGGGAATTACCTCTGAATCAACACCCCTGAGGCCACGCAGAGACTCAAGAAAGTCAACCGTGAGCGCAAGCTGACTCGGATAACATGGTTCCACTATGAACACAAGAGGATATGTCAACTCCTTTTTGTTTCTGATGGGCATTTCAAAGGACAAGCTAACCAACCTGAAGAAGTGGTACCCTGTACATGTACCTCAAAAATGGAATCTACCCTCGCAAGAAAAGATCAGGTAATTTCACAACAACCTATAGATGAGGATTCCTGATTCGTGAAGCAGTATCCTTCTAATAAGCAACCAATATTTGCCTTTTATTGTCTTGTTCCTTGTAGGTGGCAAAATCTACAGAAATGTACCATTAAAAGTAACAAAGAACTTTCTCCTTTCCATTGATGCTGGCGGTTACCGGTTTGATAACCCATTAAACTTACATTTTTTGTAATTGTTAAGGCCTGTTAACTGAGTTAAGCTTATCGCGGAAATAGATTTAATATTCCTTTTGAGAATGGGGCTGCGGTATATTATCATCACCACCATGGCCACATCAAAGGAACACACCAATCTCTACCTATCCACCGACAAAACAATCAACTCTCTCGGTCAGTAATGTATGATCTGCAAGACCCCATCATTATTGGCGGTATCAGAGCCATAGGCATCATAAACACTCACATAACTCGACCAATCATGCGGATGCTGGACACGGAACACATTTCTGTGATACAAACAAAGTGCCCACCACACAGATCTTCATACGTCAATAAGTCAATGGATGGTGGATCCGCAGCTACTGTTGGACAATAGTGCTGTCATGCTCGCGGATTTTGTCCCTGTAAGAGACGAGGTACATCAAGCGCTGTATGAGCCTGTAGAAGAGGAGATAGAATTTAATACAAGACAAGCTCTATCAATTATTCTACACAATGTGTATGTATGCATTGTAAGACAACTGAAAGATCATCTGCCAGGTGGAAAATTCCACCAACCAGATCGTATTCATCAGGAGACAAAGTCTTTTCCTAAGGATAATGTCCCTGCTGAAAGGGTGTTTGCAGGGCTGGACTACTTGAAAAGGAAAAGTCCAAACATTTCAGCGCTTGCAATGCAGGGGATCATCATGTGGACGCAAAACAAAACATTGGACTTCCTGGACACCTGTACGGATAGTGAAAAGGACGCTATAATCTACAAAGCTGCGAGAAATCGGAAAAAAATTCAAAAGCAGTATCAGGAAAAGGTACAGGGAATTAAAATTCAAAGACGTAAGGAGGTAGATGAACGAAAGAAAGCACAAGAGGAAAAAGAACGAAAGCTAGTTGCCTTGACTATTGACAATACTGATAATGTCCTCAAAATTTGCGGTGCAATATGCAAGTCGGCAGAGGAGGTGGATGACTTGATAAGTAGCAAGCAACACGAAGGTGATTCTTCTGTCAAGAAAGCTCTCCTCTCCCTGATCAAGTACTATAAATCGGTTAATCGCGGATTGGTTAAAGGGTCATTGTTTTTTGTTTCATCAGGAGGACAGCCTCTAGGTGCAGATGAACTTGCATGTACATGTAGGTTGAAAGAAATTATCAACTGCATCGATAAAACGGTCATCAATGATTCAGACATGTCAGAAGACAGTGCAGATGGGGACAAAGACAAAGAACAGAAGCTTTTCAGAGGACTTAAATAACAAGTCTCACACTGTTTGACTAATGTCTCTTTATATTATACATGTACATCAAAGTACGCCTACACTACATGTACGTGCATGATCCCAAACAGACTATTAGAACTACAGCTAAGTCTCTTTTCTCAATGTCTCCACATATTTCCAATGAAGCAAAACATAGCTCTTAGACTACACAACAGACCAGAGTTTACTGTAGTACCATTTTTGTGTACCATCCATCCAGTTAGATATTTCCATCTGAAATGCAATCATCAATATCAGAATACCTTCAAAGCCTAACTTATTTCAATTACATGTATATTGTATTGATGTCATGTACATGTACATGTGTACTATCAACTATTAATACCTTCATTATGATGATTTCTAATGTCTCACATTATATTTATGCAGGACGAACTACCACGACGTGTAAGAGACACCCAGTCCGTCAGGAACATCAAAGTAAAGGACGACAGTGGACAAATAAATGTTGCCTTATGGAACGATAAGGCAAAGAGCCTAGTCAAACTTGGAGATAAAGTGACAGTAACACATCTAAACACAAAACACAGCGACTTTCTCAAAGAAGTATCAGCTTCCTCAACAGTAAAAACAGCTATCAAGGTATGTATCTTAAATCATTCTATGTGTTGAGGTGGGGACAAACATCGTTTTCATCACTTGCTTTAATGCTTCACACAAAAGTTATCCACATTTTCTGATTTTTCCTAATGTTGCTAGTTGCTATTTTTGCAAGAACTTCTATTTAGGCAAGGGCATAGTTGACTTGTTTCCAACTACAGTACATTAGGCTAAAGTAATGATTGTAAATTGCTCGGTGCCAGGGCATTGTATTAAAAACACAGGCACATTTTATTTTTTATTTTAGCATGAGCGTCAACAAGTTGACTGCACTGTCTAAACATTACAAAGAGAATGGCTGCATTGCACGAAGACACAAGAATCAGGGCGCCGTCTTCAGGAATCACTTGACATACGATGGCCGTCTGAGGGCACAGACATTCATAAAGAATTATGCCAAAGTGAACGCCACCCTGCTACCTGGTCGCATCCCAGGCTATGCACGGGACATCAAGCTGCTTCCATCCCATGAGACGAAAGCTAATGTACATGTATGGAGGAAATACAAGGCAGCTATGGAGGAATCTGGTAAGCAAATTTCTTAGTGCCAATTGAGATGGTTCTTAGAGATGGTTTGCTTTTTTAATTGAACAAAATCAAAAAAGGTTTATGTGTTGTAACTGATAGAAAGGCAGCAGTAATTTACAACGGATACCTAGAACCATGCTTTAATAATATCTTCATGTATGTGAAATAAAATTAATAACATTTAATCCATTTTCTGGTTTCTCGTTCGTAGATTTCAGATCAATCGGCAAGTCAACCTTTCGAAAGCTGTGGAACGTGACCAGCCCTTTCATCATCTGCTGCAAACCAATGTCAGATGTTTGCTGGGTTTGCCAGCACAACAATAGTCTGCTATACAAATCTGCGAATCTGTCTGATGCGGAGAAGTCTGACCGTTGCAGAGCACAGCAAAACCATCTGGAGAAGGTAGCCATGGAGCGGGACCTGTACAGGCAGCAGTCAGGAACAGCGAAGGCCTCAGCAGAACAGCAGGGCATCAGAGGTCTGGGCAGAAATGCTCCTTGTAGTCGCAACATGGAGATGCACTACTCCTTTGATTTCGCCCAGCAAGTCAACTATCCTTCCGATCCACTTCAGCAAGGGCCAGTTTACTTCTTGACCGGGAGGAAGTGTGGTATCTTTGGAGTTCACTGTGAGGGTACTACTAAGCAGGTGAACTACCTAGTGGACGAGGCAGTGTCCATTTCCTAGGGGAGCAGTGCTGTTATCAGCTATATTCATCATTTTTTTGCCAGTTATGGTCTTGGTGAGACCAAGGTACATGTACATCTCCACTGTGATAACTGCAGCGGTCAGAATAAAAACAGTATGATGATGTGGTACATCCTGTGGAGGTGTACATGTATGCATGGGCTGCACTCATCTGTAGAGCTCCATTTCATGGTGGTTGGGCATACCAAATTGGCACCAGATTGGTGTTTTGGTTTGCTTAAACAGAGGTACAGGAAGACCCCGGTATCCAGCTTGGCGGAGATGGTTGGTGTGGTGACAGAGAGTACCCCGTCTGGGATCAACATCCCCCAGCTGGTAGGTGACGAGGCAGGCAACATCAATGTCAACCAGTAAGACTGGCAGGAATTCCTGTCGCCTTTCTTCAAGCCCCTCGTTGGAATCAAAAGTCATCAACACTTCCGGTGAGTACATTTGTTTGTAATAATAAATGCAGAAATGCAATCCCAGTTTGACCGTTGTGTTAGAATGGAATAAGACTGATAAAAGATCCATTTTGAATAACACATTTCCATCCGATGAGCCAATAATTTAACTTATTGAAACTTCATTTTTTATTGCAGATTTTCTTCAGATGAACCAGGAGTTGTATATGCACGCAAGACCTTGACAGATCCTGAAACACCCTATCAGCTGTTGAAGTCAGCTGCCAGATTGCCACCGGCGGAATTACCAGAGCCCCAAATCCCCCCCCCCCCCCAGGCTTGGATGCCAAGCGGCAGTGGTACATGTATCTCTACGAGAAAATCCGAGAGTTCTGTAGCGTCGACACGAGAGATACAGGGTGCCCTACATGTATGCCAGAGATGCCTAAGCCATAGTTTCCTAATTTTTGTTTTTAAAGCACTGTTTTGGGTCATGTAAAACTGAAAGTTGGGGAAAACGTTCATTTCAGGACCTTGAATGCTTGTTGTGTTGTTTTTTTTACTCTAAAACATGCATTTTTTTGGCAATATCAAAAACAAAAATTCCGCCTTAAAGAAGTAATGAACAAAATTGTTGTTATTTTTACCCTGAAACAATTTTCAATAACATTCATGATCTATAATGCTTGTGAAGAGATGTATTAATTGACAAATTATGTTGAACTGTTCATGGGGGGAAACATATTCCCAAAAATTCGGGATTTTTGTTTTCTAGTTTTTTTTTACAAAAAAAACACCTTTTTCACAGGTTTTTTTTTTATAGTTATTTAACAATTTAATTAAACCGTAGCAATTATGGGACATTAAAATTGTTGATTAAGTTCAACAGGTCAGAATCATATCTTTGTGTTTGCAGTGTTGTGTGTATTCAGTAACAACGGACTAAATTTTTAAAAGAGGCAAATGTTGCTAATTTATTCAGATATGCAAATGAGGGGTTATAATTATAACTTTGTTTGATTTAAAAAGAAGAAAATTGATGTCAATACCATTAGGAAGAACTTCTGAAAATTTCGAGGCAGTAGCATTTAAGGAACATACTGGTAACTAGGGACTTCTAAGTATCGTCGAATGGTGATTGAGTAATTTCTGAACAGGCAATTTCTCCAATAAGCATTGTGCACATTATGAAAATAAAAATTCTTCAAAATTTAAAAACTTTTCAATGCAATATCGCACAGATGTCTACCATGTATCAAAAGAAAGCTTGATTAACGCCCTTTCAAGCCATGTATAAAACTCAATGCAGATTTTGCCCCCCAAGTGACTCATTTTCGTAGAGCCCGTCACAAATGTCTTGTGAATCAACAAGAGTCGGATGAATCAACACAAGGATTGCTTGTTGGAAGTTTGTCGCCTTTGTGGTGAGAGTCGTGCCCAACAGAAGTATAGAAATCCTGTGCTGAAAGAGCGGTTTGCTGTGGACATCAAGGCTGCTTTTGACATCGCTGTAGCTGACAATGTGATAGGCATCTATCCTCCCTATGTGTGCAAGCCGTGTGAGCTGAAGCTAAGGAGACGGAAAGAAAACCGCACAAAGTGTAAAAAAGCTATTTGCAACATAAAAATCACCATCTTCGCTAACAGTTCATGTGACAGGTGCACTGGTGAAGTCGTTGTGACCTTAGATGATCACCACACTACGGCTGGGAAGTTTTCCTTCATGGTACTGTAAAAGTACACAGGGGTGATCTCTCACCTGCTACAAGCCAGTTAATAGGGAAGCAACAACGCAGTGGATCAGCATCATCCAATGCCCCAAATATTACCCTGTCAAAGCAGCAGCTACAGGAGAAGGTGGTAGATCTCCAGAGTGATAGAAGGAATTTACTGCGAAGAAATGCTGCACTGGAAACCAAAATATCGTCCATGATTGAAG